TTATGTAATTTTAACATTAATAAATTCATAGTTTATAAAATGTATGTAAGGACAAATTTATAAATGTGTGAGGATGTGGATGAAATTGGTAAGAAATAATGAAAATGTTGTTGAGAAAGTGGCCGTAAAAATTATAGTGGGGAAAGTAAAGCGAAGCTAAAATGGGCAAAAAGGGTAGGTCAATTTTTTCTTCTTTGCCTGTTTGGATGTGCGCATTTTTTTTATTGGACTGCTGCAGGAATGGGACAACGAAAAGGACAAAGAAAATATGTGTTTTTTTGAATGGGTTGGGGGGGGGGGGAGAGAATGCTAAACTACACATCTGTGTTTTATAACGCCGATGTTGTAGATAGCTTGGCTTGGAGTAATGTCTGGGTCAATTTGAAGGGAATTTATTGTAAAAAAATAGTGCCTATATTTTTATTGGAGAAAGAAAAAAAAATTTTCCATCCTGATATAGGATGAATCAGTGTTTATTTTAAAAAATGGGAGGGAGAGAGGGATAAAGGATTAAAAAAAAATTTTGGGTCGAGAGGGAAGGGAACCATCCGGTGTGCTACCAGTTATACGCGGGACGGACGGTCAGGACTTGGACGCCCGACCGTCCTCCCGGTATCTTCGGAGCGCCTGAAAGGGGGGAGGGGGGAGGAAGACAAGATGACAAAACGACGGGCCGGGATTGGGGTGGCGCAGAGGACTCCCTAATCTCAATAAATAAGGCCGGGATTCAACAAAATATTTATTAGGCATAAAAATATATAAGTGGTTTAAATAATTAAAACAAATAAAAATGGAAAGGCATTTAAAAATAAAAGTAAATACAAGGCAAAATCAAAAATAATATTAAATCCAATAAAAACTCTCATCTCCATTCCAAAACAATTCCAAACAAAAACAAACGAAGGAGAATGAACCAACATCTTCTTCCTTCTTCCAATCAAGTAGTAGAGAGAAAGGGGGTGGGGCTTGGGGGTGAAAAGTGGATAAAGTGATAGAGAAGAGAGGGAAGGGAGAGCCTATATGATTGAGTCGGGGATTGGGAAAGGAATGGCATTGGTGGGGGGTATTCAAGTCTGGCATTGGTCCGTCCCGCGTAACAATATACATACACCATAATCAACCTCAAATCCTCCGATACCACTAACACACTCAAATTCCCTAATATTCATGTCAATTTCTAAATTCTCCGATACCATCCCTAATTCCCCCCCCCCCCCCCAAACCCTTTAATCCAGATCTGCTCATGGACACGGATTTTGCTATCCGTATCCGGATATATCCGTGGGGTCAATATCCGTTTGTATCCGTCCGACTTTTGAGTCATATCCATCCGCGAATATATCCGTTTTTTCTCAAAATGGTCAACTTGACAAAAATTCTCAAAATGGTCAAACTTATTTAAATTCGAGTAATGGTTAGATAATGATGTAATAACTGCATGCAGCATAACCAACCTTGCTTATGAACATCGGAGGTTCGAAAATCGAAAGGCAGAGATAGGAATTACGCCCAACGCGGCTTATCAGGGATCATACCGACAAAAAATTAAATTTTGAAAATTTGAGTTTTTTTGAAAAGTTAAATTCTCGGTTTGGGCTGAAATGAAAATTTAGGCTAACTCACAGTTGATTTTAGCGCCGCAGGCGAAAATTTTGAGAATTTTGAAAGACAAAGAAGCAAAAAATCTTTTATTTTTTGCGCCGCAGGCGAAAATTTTAAGAATTTTAGAAGGCCGTAGGCCAAAAAATTCACTTTTTTGTCCAAAAGCCAGATTTCTTCATTTTTTAGCGCTGCAGGCGAAAATTTTAAAAATTTTGAAAGGCCGAAAGCGAAAAAAATTCACTTTCTTTGCACCGCAGGCTAGAATTCCGAGATGGATATCCGCGGATTTGAACATCATATCCGTATCCATCCGTATCCGTCCAATTTTTTAAAAACACTTTCCATATCCATCCGTATCCGCGGATATCCGCGGGTATCCGGATATTATACGTATCCGTGAGCAGGTCTGCTCTAATCACTTTTTGTTCCCTCAAAAAATCCCTTTTGTTTTCACAAAACCTTGCTATCATTCTAATCCCCAGAAGTCGCAAGTGTCAGTATTTATCCACAAATCCAATAACTTACATGTTAATAGCCCGAAATATCCAAAATCAACCTTAATTCCTTCAATCCACGGATATCCTCTTTGCCCACGAGATCTCAAATATCACTATTTATCATTTTAAACCCCGATGACACTCTTTATTCTCAAATCACAGGTATCCTCGATATCCCTCTTACCCACCCTTATATCCGCTATCTAAGTCGCAAATATAATATAGTTTTTCTGTGTATACTATATCTCTTTAGAATATATCACTCTAGACACCAAATCCTCATATTTCACTCTTTAATCTCATAAGCCCCGATGTACCCAATAGAGTATATCCGTGTTTTGTATCGAAACTTTGCCGGAGACTTACCATCGTTTATTTTTAATGTCTTAACTTTGTTAAACTTTTTGGATTGTAAAAAAATTTACCTACTATATAATCAATAAAGTTAATTTTTAAGGTTGACACCATAATTCACGAGGTTATGCACGCATTGGGCTTGGAACATGAACAGAGTCGTGAGGATCGTAATAAATATGTTTGGATTAACTATGATAACATTGTTAAAGTATTTCATCTGATATTAATTATCGTATAGGCTAAAATTAGGCCAGAAAATTCACTTACAGCTCCCGGAAAGAGTCGCGGAAATTAGGGCTCCGGAAATTTAGACTCAACCTTTTGGAATTTTTAACTCCGACGGGATTTTTTTGAAAAAACGTAATATTGGGCTTTAGAATTTTGGGCTGCGGAGGAATTTTGGGCTTTAAGAAATGTCAAATACTAAGGAAAATAGTAAAACCTCAAAGTATATAAAATTTCAAAATAAAAGCTTTATCAGAAAGAAATCTGCCTTGATAGATTTAAAAAATGACAGGTTTAGGCAACTAAGAGAAATTGTTTTTTATTATTTTCACGAATGTTGTGACTTATAGGGGTTTTTTTTGGCTGGACCGATTTGGACAAATGAGGTGTCATTCGATAGAGCTCGCCGAGCTGAGTCGATCGCGGGCAGAGAGAAGTCGGTCCGACAATCAGGGACCGAGATACAGACCCCTGAAGTTTGAAAAATAGAAGGGGGGAGTAAGCTAATTTTGGGGTGAAAAATTCGAAAATGCAAATAATAGCTTATTCGACTCAGCTCGTCGAGCTGAGTCGAATGACACCAAAATCAGCTCGATATCTTGATTCTGAGACTAGATAAACAGGTTCAAAATGGTCAACATAAACCTATGGAGCGTCGGCGAGGCGCTTGTGCGAAACCCCGCGCTTCGCGCGGGGTTTCGCGGCACACGCCTCGCGGGGAGTCAACGGTCGCTGGGTCAGTAACATAAACCTATTCCTATCTCCCTTGCTCTGGACGTACTTGGGGCCTCCGTAGCAGCAAAAACCTCAACAACGACCATAGGTAAGGAGCTAAAACAAACCATCATAACTTTGTCAAATCAAGTCGGATTTCAGTGATTTTAGTGTCATTCGACTCAGCTCGAGGAGCTCTTTCGAATGAGCTATTATTTGCATTTTCGAATTTTTCACCACAAAGTGAGCTTACTCCCCCCTTCTCTTTTTCAAACTTCAGGGGTCTGTATCTCGGTCCCTGATTGTCGGACCGACTTCTCTCTGCCCGCGATCGACTCAGCTCGGCGAGCTCTATCGAATGACACCTCATTTGTCGAAATCGGTCCAGCCAAAAAAAACCCCTATAAGTCACAATACCCATTTTCACAGTTGGGGTTGCCAGAGTAAGCTTATACATAGAATGATTTGTGCTTATTAGGAAAGACTACGGCGCAAATTCTATCTTCGGAATAAATTCGATTCTTCTACTCGTAACATTTGTGCGAATATGCAATCGGATATCCCGGTTCGGGATATCCGTGGATTTCACATGATCCGACAAACTCAATCCTAATTTTGATCAGGTAATAGTTTGGAATTCGCCCCCCTTTTTTTCTCTCTATTTTTTCGTAGTTTTTTCTCATTTTATGGCAAATTATATATCATTCGAAAGAGCTCTTCGAGCTGAGTCGAATGACACTAAGATTAACGAAATCTGACTTAAGTGAACAAAGTTGTAACCGTTTATTTTATCCTCTTGCATTGGCAAAAAAAGTTTACCCAAATAGGATTTAGCTTCATAATTTTGGTAAGAATGATCAGATCTAGTCAAACATGGTATCATTCGACCAAGCTCGTAGAGAGCTTTCGAATGATATATGATAAATTATGTATCAAGCAAAAAAGCTCAAAATGGTCAGGGAAACGGTGAAAAAAAAGGGGGGGGGGTGAATTCCAAACTATTACCTTTTGATCATCTACAATAATGTCAATTAAGTGCTAGCATGTGACAAAAATGCTCATAAATCACTTTACATTTTTAAATTTTTTAAAGTTTTTGACTTTCGATTTTCGAGATTATTTTTCTCCCGATTTCGAGGATTTTGAAAAATATTTTTGATTTCGATACTTTAGAGTTTTTTAAATATTCGAAAACGTTTCCGGTCTAATTACCTAAATCTTTTTCCTTAGGCCGAAAGAATTTTCGAAAAATCTTGTAGCCCAAATTTGGAGCCTAAATTTCCGGACATCACATCAATTATGAGTATATTTGCTGTCCTTGTAGTAGCTCAATTGATAGAGCGTAAGTATGAATCTGCTTGGCTAAATTTTTCCATCTCTTACCGCATTAAAAATTAAATTTAATTTGCAAATTAAGGAAGATTGGGATCAATTCGGTCGGCTCAAAACATTGAATTTTGGAACACCGTATGACTTTGGATCAATAATGCATTACGGTTCGAGGGACTTTTATCTTAACAATAGGTAAATTTAACAAAGGTAAAAATTAAATAATTACTTAGTAAATACACAATCCTTGCACTGCAACATGCTTATCAAAATACAATGGGACAGGATCTTGAACCTTCTTTCAAAGATGTAAAACTTCTCAACAGACTTTATTGTAGGAAATGATTAAATTTTAAAAATAAAATTTTTAGTTTAAACAAGTTATACTAATTCTAAATTTTTTACTAAAAATGAGTCCAAAATCTAATGTCATTTAAGGTACTCGAAATTATCCACATACATCTACATTGTCTAAATCAATAAATTCGTGGTGTGATATAAAAAATTATGAATTAAATAATGGAAAATGCCGGAATGGTGGGTATCCAGACCCATTAAAAAATTGTAAATGTCTATGTCCTGAAGGATATGATGGAGATGATTGTACCGAATATAAATGTAATTTACATATTTTATCTCAGAAAAATAAAAAATACATTCAGATGGCAACAACGGGTTTATGGAAAAAACAGCAAAAGGTTATGAACGACTTATCTGGTCTGTGGAGCTTCTGCGGAATTTAGGCGACCATTTACTAATACCAACACTTTTCGTAATAAAGGTGGTTTTTAAATAAAATAAATAGTTAAATTAAATTATCTTACATTAAATGCTTCTAAATTAGATAAGGGAAAAGTAAATAAAGTCCAAAAATTCTACACTAAAAACAATAAATGCCGATATTTCCAATCAGAGATGAGCACAAGAGACAATCTCTTTACGCAATACGCAAAAATATGTTTTTATGCATAAATTATGTATTGGTCATGGTACTTGAGAGTTATCTCATACCTAGGGCGGAGACAAACATGCAAATGCATGTTTTGCATGCGGATATGCCTTGAGCTGATACGCTCAAAAATGGTGTTTTTACATCGGTCCAAGCACTTTAGGATAGGGTTCTTAATGCATATTTTGCATATTTCGGCCCTTTCGTGCATATTGAAATAATTTCGGATACTAAACAGACATGGGACATATTATCATATTTCATTCGACTCAGCTCGTCGAGCCGAGTCGAATGACACCAAAATATAGATTGGGACGACACTATGGGCCGAGATACAAGGCTCGAAATGCACAATTTTGGGGTGAAAAATTCGAATATGCAAATAATAGAACCCTGCTATAGGGAGATCTGGTTGTAGTTGTTCATATATTTTTAATGAAAGTGGCGGCGCAAAAGGGTGTCCGGAAAATTGGGCTCTGGAAAATTGGGCTCCAAGATTTTTCGGAAAATTGGGCTCCAACTTTTCGGAAAATTGGGCTCCAGCGGAAATTTGGGCTCTAAGTGAAAAAAACGGAAAATTGGGCTCCAATTTTTTAGGCGCGGGGAATTGTGGGCGTTAGAGTGAATTTTTAGATTTATTCGAAAAATATCACAAAATTCTTTGGAGTGCTGATACTTAGTGGGTAGGTCGGCATTTCAAAGCTGAAAATCAGTAAAAAGGAATAGGTTTATGTTACTGTTGTAGAGCCCAGCGACCGTTGACTCCCGCGAGGCGCGTGCCGCAAAATCCCGCGCGAAGCGCGGGATTTTGCACAAGCGCCTCGCCGACGCCCATAGGTTTACGTTGTTTGATTTTGTGTCATTTTTCGTTAAAATCCAAAATTCACTCTGACGCCCACAATACCCCGCGCCTAAAAAATTGGAGCCCAATTTTCCGTTTATTTCAAATAGAGCCCAAATTTCCGCTGGAGCCCAATTTTCCGAAAAGTTGGAGCCCAATTTTCCGAAAAATCTTGGAGCCCAATTTTCCTGAGCCCAATTTTCCGGCACTCGCGCAAAAGTCGCTCGGCGCACAAGTCGCGGCGCAAAAGTTGCGGCCCATAAGTCGCGGCGCAAAAGTATGATGGAAATTGATGGAAATTTTTTAAAATAATTGGGAGAAGGGATGATCTAGAAAGAAAATTAAATTACAAAAATTAAAAAATTCTCAAAATTTTCGCCTGCGGTGCATAAAAATTAGTGTTTCATCGGAACCGAAATTTTGACCGAACCCGGAACCGCATCCAATTTGAGTTTCGGTTCCCGTAACCGAAATTTTTCTATGTTCCGGCCCGGAACCGGAACTTTTACAAAAATTTTGCTAGTAAATTTTAAAAAATTTGTATTTTAAGTAAGGCTATCGGTTTAGACAAATTCTTCGGTTAACCAATACTAAACCGAAAAACCGAACCGAACTACCCAAATCCCCTGATATGCCCCATACCCCACCAAATATATAAGCCACTTAATTCCTCGAATCACATTCAAACGGCTTGTTCTATAAAAAAAGCTCGAAAAATGGTTGGTTAGACAGATTTAATATCTTTAAATAATATTTAAACTTAATATTTAATTTTAAGCTAAATAAAACTGATGATAGAATCAAAGCAAAACGTATAATACTACAAATTAGAGAGATGACTGGTTATAAATGCAGACGTACCTGTAAAGGAGATGATTATATAGAAATTAAATATCTCAAAGATAAATCAGCAACAGGCTTTGCTTAAGTGTTTTAAAAATATCTTTGAATATTTGTTCTAGGAGCTAGACTTTGTTGCACCACATGGGATTTTGACAGAATGCTAACTATTAGTTCTGAAGAAGATACTGAAGTATTAATAATGATAAAGGGTTCCTGGGCAGAATATAGGATTAGTTACAGAGCTGGTAAGTAATTTTTATAATGAATTGAAAAATATAAAATTTTTACTCATATCGAAAATAATGCTTCAAAAATTTTGCCATTTAAAAAACTAATAACTGAAATAAACGGCGGTACTTTTCTGTTTTGCCACAACCCTCCCCATCCTCCCCCATATATTCGCGGGATATATTTTCTATTTTTCCTTCATATATATAGAATGGTAACTTTTTCGATTTCACCCAATTTTCCCTATAGCGTTAATTTTTCGTTCAACAAATTAAGTCTGGAAATACAAATTTGAAAAATTTCTTTCTTCATCAAATGAACAGTAGGGTTTTAGCGAAACTTCTGTTCCGATTCTCAAAATATATGTAAGAATTTTATGCGGGAGACGAAAACTCTCAGAGATACAGGCGATTGCAAATCGAAAAACCATAGGGGAGACCAAGCGGTTTTTTGTGGTCAAAAATTCGAATATGCAAATAATAGCTCATTCGAAAGAGCTCGTCGAGCTGAGTGACGGCCGCCGCTTCGCTACGGTCGCGCGAGCGAAGCGAGCGGCGACCGCAGCAAAGCACGGCCATCGTGTAGCGAAGATAAATATTTAAATATTTTTAGAACTTGCACCTTCACAAGAATCTTCAAAATGCATAGAAGTGCGTAAATCAATTTTAAAAACTGGCAATTTGCAATATCCCCGAAAACTATATGAGTTAGATGACAAAGGAAATTTTGCTCTAACACCTGAAGGAAAAAGGATTGAATCACCGGATAGAGTTGGACCTGAATTTTGTTTAGCTTGCAAAAGGAATCATTCAATGATTGTTTGTTTTACGTTTATATTATTTTAACTATATTTATTTAAGATTAATGGTATACACTTTCGTCGAAATGACTGTATTGAAGATAAAAACCCAGATCCAAAATGTATTTATTCAACATGTTTTTACTGCAAGGTAATAAAAAATTTAAAATATCTGTCCTATTGAATTCTTGATTGAAATCAAACATCGAATATTTTTGCATAATTTAGAGAATCTAACTTGAAGTAATTGAAGACTTGTTAGGCCTACCCTTATTTCCGAGGAATGATTTGTCTATTATGAGAATTGTGTTAAGACTTTGATTGTTAAATTAGACTAAAATGATAAATTTAAAATTCAGACTGTGGAAGGTTCCAAGAATGCAAAGTGGTATGAGCAGAATCCAAAGGATGCAAATTGGTATTGGCAGAATCCAGAAGGTGAATGGATTCTTGTTAATCTTATAGATTGTTATCCAAATAAAGGATTAAATGGCTAGAACATTTCCAAGTTAACTTTTCATTAGTCGTAAAATTTCGTGTTGTATGACTCCCTTTTCTCATTTTTTCATCCACCTCTTTAGAAAGTAATACTGTAAATCTCTGATTGAATGAACACATGTGCTTCTATTTTTCAATTGGTAGGGTGTGTTTATTTTGGGAAGTGTGCTTCAATTAGAGACCGTGCTTTTATTTTTCGATCTATTTTTAAATTTTTTATAGAAAACTTTTACCCCACATAAAATAAAACAAATTAAATTTCAATTGAATTAATAAATTTCCATAAAATTTTTCTAACCAACCACCTTCCTTATTTCCTCTCGAAAATTCTCAAAATTTTCGGATGCCGTGCTGAAAAGAACAAGCCCTGTTCACAGAAAGCTTATACAAAAGCTTGTACACCTTGTACTTTAAATTTTTATTAAATTTTATCTGACTTCATAGGGCCGAGTTACGGGCCGTGAAAATTGAAAAACCATAAATTGAAAACACGAAATTGAAAAAACTTCAAAAATTCAAACCTATTTGTTAAAAATTCGTACTTATTTTGCCACTTTTCGAAATTTTTTCAAACTATTTAAGCCGTTTCTTCGAATTAAGGATTCAATGAAAAGTTTTTATAAAAACAGGATAAATTTGCATTAAGCTTAACATAATTTTCTTTAGAATTTTTTTCTTGTATGAAGAATAAAATTGAATATTTTGTCCTTTGATTTACTTTATTATTTTCAACATTTTATTCTTTAAAATTAAAAATAATCAACGAAATTTTGTTCAATCTACTGAAAATAATAAAAATGAGGTTGGAAGTGTTAAAATTAATTTGTTGACAATGTAAATAAATAAAAATGAGATGATCATTTATAACTGAACATTAGGTTAAGATACACCCCGGCAAAGATTCACCTAAAAGAATAATTTTTTAATTATATTGGCACATAGGTAGACGGAGCTGCCTTATTTAAAATATACGCCATTATCACATAAATTTTAACCTCAAGTGTATATCTTATAGTGAAGTCTAATTTAAAAATATTTTTTTATTTGCCTTTTAAAAAATTTAAAAAATGTGGACAAAAATTGAATTGATAATAGCTCAATTACGTATAATTCCGACAAAAATATTCATTCTATTTCGATAAGAAATAAATTATTGATTTTGTTTTTGTGAATATTTACGTTGATTGTTGTACTTCCGATCATCTCTTTCCATTTCCCCATATTTCTGAATAATATGTTGTGGAACTTTTTTGAGAAACCAAGAGACTGAAGGTCGACGTTGATAAAAAAGCATATAAGAACAATCCGACTCGAGCATTGCTTCTTTATATATTTTTGAAACTCGTGAATCATCGAATAAACGCCATTTCCCATCAGTATAATTACGGGCTGCAGCAGTATAATGTCCTTTCAAATATTTATTAAATTTGAATTTTTAATTACTTGGGGAAATGGAGGGAAACAAACTCTTCTAAAGGAATAAAATTTGGAGAATAGGGGAAAATACTGTATTTTTAGCCTATTTTCTTTAGATTTTTGTTATTTATTAGAAAAATTTAAAAAAAAGTTCAGCTTTTCATATTAACAATGTTCTCTCAATATTTATAAAAATGTTGAGAAACATTAGTTTTCACAAGAACTGACCAGAGCTAAAAGCATATCCATGATGGTAAATTATGCAGGACAAATCATATTTATTCTCATTGTATTCCTTAATTTAGAATCTTTAATAAATATTTATTTTTAAATATACTTTTGGCAAACTTTTCAACGCATTTTGATTATCGATATAAGAACTCATATCAAGCTCTTCTAAAGGAATTTGAACATTTTTGTCATTCTTCTTACTATAGCTTCCAGACTAAAATATTATTCAAAAATAATGTAGGTCGCCAAAATTTTTTGGAATTCTAGTATCAAAGTATAGTAATAAAAATTTTTTCACTCTCCAAGTTGATCAATTTCCCGGTTGATCACTCTTCCGGTTAATCACTCTCCCTGAAAATTGAACAACCGGGAGTGTGAACAATGGAAGAGTGTTCAGCCCAGGAGAGTGCTCGAACGAAAAATGACCTACTGGGACTGTGATCAACAGGAGAAGTGTTACCAATATTCCATTGCCCAATATTCCTTTTTTGACTTGGTGGCTAAAATTCTGTACACCCATGCATGAAGGTCCTAAGTAACCCTGGAAAATAAATTTACCTGATCTAAACGTTTTAGATAAAAAACAAGAATTTCAGGCAAATAATCAAATTTAATTTGCATAAATCCAGAAGGGTTGTTACATTTTGGACAGTTCCAAAATTGAATAGGTTCTACTTGTAGAATAGAATTTATTTTATTTTGTTAATTTAAAAATTACCCGATTTAGCAAAATTATCAAGCATTGTAATTAAAGAAACGGGGGGTTGCTGTGAATTATCAATAAAATTGTTCAGTAATTTATAATTTTCATTTATTTGTTCTTTCATAGAATTATTTTCAAATACTCTTTTTGAAGACAAATTCCATTCAACATTTATATGGATAACTTTTTTATTATTTTCTTTAGCATTCAGAATACTGAAAATTTTTTTATGAAATATTAACTAGATTTTTACCTAGATTTATTTGTTAAGAGCGTTACGGGGAAAGTTGATCCAATAACGAGTACCGTAAACGCTCGAATACCCTATGTAATTATTGTTTCGACCTTTCGCTGGATGGGGTAATTAATGAGAAGAGGTGCTAAATTTGTGTTATATCTCAATTGATGAGGAGGAAATCGATTTATTTTTTGATCTTTTGTCTTAAAATTTCAATATTAAAAATGTCAGTGATTTTTTAATATTTTTAAAATTTGTGTATGAAAAAAAAGGGGGGGGGGTAATTATTGAAAAGCGTAATTATTTGAGAGAGGGTAATTATTCGAGCATTTACGGTAATACGTTATTTTAGAAAAGGTTAAGTTAGTTCCAATAATAGGGAAAAAACGTCCCACTTTTCCCAATTTACATCAAAAATTATTAAAAATATCCAATAAATTTACCTGTAAACATGATTATTCATAAAAGGTTGCATAGTTTCAGGATTAAAATAATAAACACGCCCATCAGAGTTTTGAAACAAACAATTAACATCTCCTTCTACATTTTGTAAAGAACAATAAACAGATCCATCAGAATTTAATATAATAATTTTAAAATCGGGATTTATGCTGGAATAAGGTTTTGGAAGAAAAATTGCTCCGTCCTTCATCAATTCGAAAGTTAACTGTTCAAAAGTTAAATTTCTATATATTAAAGCTATATAAGGCTCTCCAAAACTACAAAAAAACTTAAAATTATTTTTAGTAAATTTTTAAAATTTAAATACATTTTCCCATCAAAAACAAAATTTACAATAACGATAACTAATTTTTGTAAAAGTTGTGGATGAATTTCAGGTATTTCAAGAATCGTAAAATCATTTAATTGACTATCACCTTCAAGAACTGAATTAAATGGAACTAAATAGGAATGCCCATCTGGTTTAATTTTACATGCAACCATCTAAAAATATAAATTTATTTAAAGTAACGAATTTGAGGTTATGTAAGTTTATAGTATATGTTAATGAAATACCAATTTATTTCTATAAACGAACATTTTCTGAGGAGATTTTCACAACATTTTGTATTTGTTCCATTATTTCTCCAACAGTTAAATATGACTCAGAAACATTTAAATGAAAACGTGTGATTTTACGTGATGGATTCATAGCAATGAATTTTACAGTAACTTTACGTGGCCTGAAAAATATTAAAATATTTATTAATAGAACTAGTAAATAAATTTACAAAGGAACGGTGAGTGAAACAGAAATAAATGGTTCACATGAAATATCAACAAAATTACAATTTGGAGCAGTACAAGTTATTTTATGACGCAATTGTCCTCTAAATTAAAAAAATTTTTTTATAAATTCATTCATAAATTTATAATTTCATTTATAAATTCATACAATAAGATAAACTTACTGAAATAATTTAAGAAAATTAGAATTTTTATCTTCCTTATTATCATCATTATTAAAATTGAAAGAGCTACTAGTTCCAGCAATTGGAATATTTGACGTAATGTTTGAACCTTTACCATAATAATTCACAAAAGTTGAATCCAAAATCTCTCGATTAAGATTATTTAATAACCAAATCATACACTCATGAGAATCCTTTTATAATATACATATTTAAAAAACAAGTAGTAATATTAAAAAAAATTTTTTTGCTTATTATATAACGTGCTTCCTATTATTACTAAATTGCACGCACTGTATTAGAGCGAATATATGTACATATTATTAATAAACTAACATGATGAGAATTGAGACAAAATGTTGAATTTACACGCGCAATAGAACTAATTGTTTTGTGACAACATTCGTCAACACGAGTGTTATTAAACCACATGCAACGAATTGTATGAACAAATGAGTTGAAAATAATACTCTGAAAGTTAAAAAATAATTTCCGTTTTCATTTAAAAAATTATGCATAGACCTGATGATTAATTAAGATCCGAGACTAAGGTTTTCGTTTTAAAATCGAACTTAAGTTTCGGTTCAGTTTATCTGTTTAGTTAACTGAAGTATTTGATTAAATAAGACAACCCTCTCTATTACTAGATCGAAACTTTTAATTAATATAAAAATGCTAAAAAACTTCCACCTTCTTATGTGTATCAAAATCATTACGAAGAATAAATTCAGCAAAACGGTCACAACCTGCAAGGCTCTGCATTAAAGCATTAAAATAACAAGTATTTCCATGATTTCTAAGTCCTAATTTAGCAAAATTAAATGTATATTATTTTATTTTTAACGACCTTTTAAACAAGGAACAATTGGCTTGGGAACAAAATTGCTTTCAATAGTAATTATTTTATGAGAAGAACATTTTGCTTTTGGGATCTCGTAATCCTCATCAGGATAATAAGAATGGCCTATAATTTATAAGGATTAAATAAAAAAACCGAATTACACTATAACAACGTTTAATACTAACCACACATCGACTTAAAAGCGATTCTAAGTAAAATTATAAAGCTGGGCTTTTTGTGCCGCTTTAAACGATTAAGAAATACAATCATAACTATGTTGATTTAAGTCAGATTTCATTGATCTTAGAGCTTTCGACTCAGCTCAGAGTTCTTTCGAATTACAAGTAATTTTACATAAAAAAGAACAGATGCCACAAAGTAATTCAGGCAACCGGGGAAGATATAAATGCCACTATTACAATGGATTTATGTATGTATAACGAGAGGTATCCCAAATTGTGAAATTAAAGATATCAATCGTTATAAAAAATCTTCAACCAAATTTTTGTATCTTATAATGAAATTCGACTGAATTAGTATTTATTTTTAAGTACCTTCTGATGGAATGTTTGATTTTGAAACAGAACTTCCGTCAGAAATAGTTTGTTTATTAGCACGTAATCTGGTTAAGGGTCCATCATAATCTTGGTGTTTTCCTCCAAAATTAGACGAATTTGAATCAAAAATTGTTTCAGTATTTTGTTTATTAGAACATGTCGTTATTGAGGATGGAAGTTCATTATTAAAAGAAATATTTTTTGTCCCTCGATTAAAATTGGCCGAATATTCTGTTTGATAATTAATTGGAGAAACATTCTTCTCTTCATTAGATTCTTTTGTTGGTGTAATTGGTCCAGGATGATTGTTTACATTATCAGCAATTAAGATTATCTCCATATCTTCATCTTGAGCATTTACTTAAGATCGAGATTAAATTAATATTAGAAGAATTCGAGAGACGGTCAGTATAAAGAAAATAATCAGAACTATTCCCGAATGAGCTACAATTTATATTATTCAGTTAATGTCCAAAATATGCTTTTAGTACATAAAATTAAACCGATTTTAAAATACGCGGAAAAATAATCCGACGTAATTTCATAAAAACAAAATTAAAAAAAAACAACTTGAATTTAAAATATTAAACAAAAGGCAAAACTGATTTAACAATATTGCAAATAGAAATATTAATAAAGATAATAAAATTACCATTTGATGTAGTCGAATTATCATAATTCTGATTAGTATTGATTATGTTAGAATAATTTGGTAAAGTGATTCTGGAATTTAAGATATAATGAAGATGAGCATCAAATGCCTTTTCCCAATCCTCGATTGTTTTATAATTTGACCGTAACGGATATTTATTTGCAGACATTACAACAAAAAATTACTCTAAAATTTTTATTTATTTATTTATCACGTAAATTAATATAATATGTACTGTACAAAACAAAAATTAAATTTAATTTAGATTCCAATTCCAGCGGGTCCAAAATTTTTGAGGTTCTGAATAAGTACAATAAAAATACAGAAAATTAAACTTGTGAAATGAAAAGCTTATTTAAAATAATTTTCATTAGTAACCGGGGCCGGGACGGACTCCGGCTGAATTTATCGGAGTTCGGGTCCAAATTCGGATTTATTGCGATTTACGGACTACAGTAATCCGGAAAAATCCGGCAGGATCGGGTCTGGCTCAGGTTGCAAATCCGGAATAAGTGTCTCGAAAAATCGGATAAATGGTTAAAAATCAAATTTAATTAAATGAAATAATATGTATTTGAAAAAAAATATGTATTTGAAAAAATAAATTTTTAATTTATTAATTTATTTTTCATTTGCAATTTGCTAGGAAATAATAAAGAATATGTATGTTCTGAAAATTACACCTTCCTCCCACAACTAAATTTTAATGGCGAAGTTCTAAACATAACAGTTTTAATATAAAAATATGTCAAATTATTTTTGTTTAATAAAAAAAAGCAAAAAAGAAAGTGCATATAACAAAATAAAACTTGACCTTTCCTTCATTATTTGGAAAGCAAGTAAAATAAAAAAATGTTTATGTGCATTTTAAACTTTTAGTTAAAAAACAAAATTTGAAAGATACTCGGTTAAAATGGGCGGAGCAAAAAATATTTTTATTCTAGATGAATAAATTTTTTTAATTTATTCCTTTTATTTAGTTGCTCAAACGAATTCTAGACAGTCAAGTTTTTTTAACTTTTTAGAAATAACCTCTCAATTATTTCCAATTTGTTGTTATATTAGTTTTCTTTATTTTCTAGAAATATTTTCACTAATATTTTTGTTCAACATAGATAAATATTAGTGTTTCACCGGAACCGAAATTTTGACCGGAACCGGAACCGGAACCGGATCCAATTTAAGTTCCGGTTCCCGGAACCGGAACTTTTCAAAGTTCCGGCCCGGAACCGGAACCGGAACTTTTAAAAAAATTTTTGCTAGCACATTTTAAAAAATTTTTATTTTAAGTAGGGGTGCGGTTTCGCCAAATTTTTCGATTAAATTCTGCCAAATTCTTCTGTTAATCGAAACGAAAAAAATCCAAGTTTTGGAAGACCAAATCCCCAGCTATTCAATCCCTGATATCTAACTTGCACAGCTCATTCCCTGGACATCACACCCAAATCCCTCTATATTACCTATAACCCCTTGAACTCACATAATGTAACTCAAAATCCACCTTCATCCATCCAAATCCTTCGATTTACCATACAACTTCCCTTCATAGCGCCGCTGGCGAAAATTTTGGGATTTTAGGTGAACCAAGGATACAAATTTCTTCCTTATTAAGCGCCGCAGGCGAAAATTTTGAGAATTTGTGTGACCAAGTAGCTAGATTTCTTCATTTTCTTGCGCCGCAGGCGAAAATTTTGAGAATTTTGGAAGGCCAACCGGGGAAATCCAATCCAAATTTCTTAAAAAAACTAATCCTTAGGGGTGTAAAAAAGTTCCGGTTTGCCCGGAACCGATTTGTAAACCGGAGCCGGAACCGGAACCAATTTGAGTTCCGGTTCCCGGAACCGGAACCGGAACCAAAAAAACACCGGAACTTTCCGGAACCGGAACCGGAACCGGAACTTCCGGTGAAACTCTAATAAATATATTTTAATTCAAGCTCAAAAATGGTTCGTAAATCTTACCGTTGTAGTATTTGCCATTCTCGTTTGAATTTTGAAAATGCTTATAATTTGAAAAATTGTAATCACACTTTTCATCAAAATTGTATTACTCGTTGGATTAATGAAGGGGTGAGGATTATTTTTGATTTTATGACTTCACTTACTAATATTTCCTTATTGTCCTTGTTTTTGAAAATCCACATTAAAATATTTAAAAATTTTAGGGGGGGGGGGGGGTTTGATCCATACAACTTGCTCAGTAATAAAAACGGATAAGTCTCATGGTATTTAATGTGTCCCAGTAAAATCAGTCTATCGAACTTGAAGACATCGTCTCTGGGACAAAACCATCCAGGCACAGCTCTCTAATTAAAATATCACCAACTTTTTATTTTAACTATTTAGGCACAAACTTGCCCTCGATGTCAAGCTCATTCTACTTTGGCGGATATCAAAAAAATTTATTTTGATGAAGGAGGTGATTCACAGGAATCTGATGATGAGATGATGCAAGGTACAAGTAATATGGCTACACAAAATCCAGTTGTGAGTTCATAAATAAATTGAGGATTTCCTTGACCACAGACATTCCACAGAAATTTCGGGATTTGGGATTATTTTGGGATTTTGAAATTATTAATAATAAACTTTTTAGTCTAAAATTAACTTGAAATGACAGTAGGTGAATTGTCTCATCAATTAATTTTATTTTCAGCCTTCCAATCAAGGAACAATTAATGTAATTGTTAAGGATACTTATAATGATAGTAAAATGGCGGTGCAGATGGAAGTAAGATTAAATTTTAAATAATATACTGAAAAAATTTTAAAATTAAGCCAAACGGTACTGTGTTGGGTTTGAAGTATAAAATTTCTGATCGTAGAGGTTTACCAACTGCTACTCAGCGTTTGGTAAGGGAATTACTTGAAAAATTCTAATCATTAAATTTAATATTTATCAGATTTATCGTGGTCATAATCTTGAAGAAAATTGTAAATCTTTATTCATTTTTTACAGAAATTTTTATCGAGCAGCAGTATTTTCTGTTGCAGCGTTTAAGCGTGAAAAGAAATTCTTAGTTTAATTTCTTTATTCGTCTTTTATAAATTAAAAGATGAAAACATCTTGCAAATTTGTAGTATTGTTTTTCAGTTTCGTTTCACTTTCTTTTAAAAGACGCATAATAGTCAAACTTTCTTAGTTTCTCTTTTCATTATTTCCATATGGCTATTAATTTTATTAATTCTATTAATAATACATAGGTTAACTTTTTACCTTTAAGAATGTTGCTTTTTAAGACTTCTTTAGACTTTTTCTTCTTTTTAACTATGTAGGTATTCGTATGACTTTGTATAGAAAATATGATAATATATTCTGATTCCAAGCTTAAAATTTTTAAATAATTCTAGATACACTCAGCCACTACAATATTGTGAACAACACAATTGTTGACTTGGTTATGCGTTGTGAGGGTGGTGAGATTTAAAGAATTCAATTGAAATTGATTTAAATTAAATTATTTATTAAATTTTGTAAATTTAAATGTGGTACTAAAAATTATTTTTTAAAGTTTTTCTTTTTGATCCTTTTTCGATTTGAAACATTTAAAAAATAATTTTTAGGCAATGAATTTTTAAATTATTAAATTGAACTTCTTTCAATTATCATTATATTTTACTTTCTATGAACAGCATAAAATAATTTTTTTAATAAAAAAATTTTTTTGTTCTCAAATTATTTTTAAAAAAGTAAATATTTAGTTATGGCCACAGTTACAGTACGTATTCCCTTTCTTTTTTGTTTAAAATAAATTGAAGGAAATGGATACTTTGGATTTTTTAAAATGATTTAGAAAATTCAAAAAATAAATTTTAACAATGGAAATAAATTTAAAGAAACAAGACAAAACATTAAACAATTAATTGATGAAAATTATCGTAAAAAAGATATGATTAATCCTTTGGAGGACAAAATTAAATCGTTAAAAAATTTATCAAAAAATTTCAATAAAATTCCTTAATAATTAAATGCTTTGAAATATCATAAATAAATGGTCTAGATTCCAAATCATTTCCAAAGTTCGCCTCAACAGAACAACAATTAAGCGAAACTTCAGGTTTATATGAATCAGAATTGTTCTTTAATAATACACCTTTACCTTAAAATTAATTTATTTGTAAAATTATTTTTAAGTATTTACCAATTTGTTTTCCATTTTGTGTAAAGAAAATATATGGAAATCCAAGTAATTTATTAGTTGGAGGGTAAACTAATCCACAACCAAAAATATCATTATTATTGAAAGGTGTTGAGAGGCTATAGTATTCATTTCCTTCATTTTTAATTTGAGCAAACACTGCACAATACTCAATATATTTATCTGTTGTCAAACTTTGAAGACAAATATCCATCCATTTTTCACGATTATTCAACTCTCCTTCGAATTTACATTTAATTTCAAAATAATATAAAGAATAATTAAAACAATGTGGAGGTTTGGTGAATGAATTTTCTGCATGAAAAGTTACACTTTCGTTGCAACCTAAAAATAGAATTTTTAAATTCAAAACCTCAATAATTTACCTCCATCCAAACAATTAATATATTTAATATTTTCATCATTAATTATATTTCCAAATCCATTTCCTTCAATACATTTAGTTGACAACAGATAAATATATTGAGTATTGTGCAGTGTTTGCTCAAATTAAAAATGAGAGAAATGAATACTATAGCTGATATTAGATCGTGATCAGCATGGTCGATTACCTACACAAAATTATTTTCAGGAAAAAATAATTTTAAGTTTCTCCCCAATTCATCACCATTACCTAATAAGAGGCATATCGGTTATTTGGAAGGATTAGAGGATAGGTCTAGCGCCGCAGGCGAAAATTTTTCAATTTTTGGATGTTTAAGGAGCCAAAATTGACCAAAAAGTCAGAATATTTTACAAAATTTACTCGAAATTGGACCCGGGCCGGGCCCGGGTTTTTCAGATGCGACCCGGGCCTGGCTTCCGGGCTAAAAACCTCGAAAACCCGGAAACCCGGAAAAACCGGATTTTACCAAAATACCCGGTTTCCGGGCTACCGGGCCCGGAAAACCCGGGCCCGGCCCGGGGTCGAGCTCTAACATTTACCAACAGGGTTGCCTGTATTTATACAATTATACTCACAACATGATAGAAAAATTTCACTCCATTTATTTTTAATTTCTACAAAATTCTTTAAAAAACTATTTAATAATTTAATCTAAATTATAAACTAACCACAGAATGTGAATTATTTAATTTATTCATTAAATCACACATCTTTTCATCAATCACATCATTAGCCTTATAATATTTAATTTATCAGGTTAAATAGAGTCCAAAATTTTAAAAAATCCCGAAAATCATGATTTTTAGACCCTGATCCGGACTAGGCTCTGGACTCGAACCCCTTCCCATCAAAATATCCAACTAAGTCAGTCAACCTAACCACTCAACCAACGATCACTAGTCACGACAAGTAAGATATTCAATTAAAAAACTTTTAAACCTCTAATTTCTCCAAACGGTTGTTTAAACTTTCAATTACATTTTTCGACAAACAACAACATTTTTCTGTAAAATTTTCTTCTTCTTCAAGTGTTTTATCTTCGATTTCATTTTTAATATTATCAGAATTTTTTGTAGACCATTCTTCTACTAATTGTTTAATATTTTTTTCAATTAATTTTTGAAAATTTTGTTTCATTTTTTCAATTTCATTTTTATGATCAAAATTTATTTTTTGTATTTTCTAAAATTATTTTTTAAAAAATATTTCTAAAAAAATAACTAAACTTTATCCATTTCCTTTAATTTATTCTTAAGAAAAAAATTTTTCTTTTCAAGATTTATTGTCTTTTCTTCAAGAAATATTATTTGAAAATTATTTTCATTTACTACTTTCAATTCCAAATCAGAATTTGTTGATGATTCTTTTTCAGTCATCTTATACATATGTAAAAGCAATTAAAATATTCTAAAAGTAGAACAAATTTAAATATTTAAAATTTGTTAAAATTATCTTAAATTGAAAAAAATTTTAAGTTTTACTATCTAAAAATTTAAATTTATGGAAAATTTAATTTAAATTGATCAAAATTTATAATTTAATTTAAATTTTCCGGAGAAACGTTAAATTATTTTAATCATAAAGGGTAAATGAAATAAAAATATATAAATTAAAATATTTATTTTATATTGAAAGATTAATTGCCTAGATACAATTTTGTTGGAAATGTCATTTTCTCAGACAATACTTATTTTTTGAGGGAATAATTTAAATAAATTTAAAATTAAGGATGAAAATGTGGTATTTAACTGTAATCCGCAAATTCCCAATTTATTTTCAAATTATTCCTTCAGAAAAATAATTTTTTCCTTTCTTTATTTTTATCAATTTTTACTAAATTTCCCCAAAACATTATTTGAATTTAGTCGTATTTATATTTTCATATTTTAACCTTTTCCATTAACATAAATATATAAACTTGTACATATTTAACTTCCCCCGCCCTTTATACCACTCATATATTTTCCATAATTTGTCTCATTTAGAACCTTATTTGTATTATTTTGTTTAGTTTAATTAAATCCTCTCAATAAGTGTGAGATTGGAATTTAAATGTTTATTTGAGGCTGAGGACGTTTTTTCATGCCGGGGACACACATTTAAACCCTTAATTGATATACATATCTAATATTACCTGTTTCAACGTTTATTCAAAAAAATTAATAGAATCTTTTTAAATAAAAGGATTTGGCTAGATAAAATTTTTGAGAGAATCCATTAAGTGATTATTCTTAACAATATCTTTATGGACTAGTATCGAAAAACAATTCACAAATTTTTTTCTGATTTAGTTTGACCAATTCATCCATTTTCTGCGCTGCAAGCGAAAATTTCGATTATTTCCATATTTTGGAGCCCAAGAGTCTCTTCCAAGGATTAAATTATCTGTTCCGTTAAATTAAAAAGATGTTTAAGTAGCTTTTTTGTGTTTTTAATAAACAATTCGTCAATTTGTTATATTGACGAAAAAGATTTTTAAAGTTTTGAATTAATTTCAGAAAATTTATTTTTAAAAATGAAGAAAAGAACAACAAAACAATTAGAAGAATGGTCATTTTCCACTGTCAATTCTGATAATATTAATAAGTTTGGAGATGAAACACTTGTAGAGCAAAATCCAAAAAAATCTAGAAAAAATTTGGAAGCATCTAGTTCTGATAGTTTGACCACTTCCTGTGATTCTTGTTGTATATCAAAAAATATAATTGAAAGTTTAAAACAAGATATTCAACAATTAAAAACTGAAAATAATCTGAGAGACAAGAAAATTAATTCTTTAGAGGAAGAAATTAAAAAAGTAAATAAAGATATCAAGTTAATATTTTATTGTAAAAATACAGGTAGCTGCATCTCGTCGCTCATTTTACCCTAATGAAGCAATAGGTTGGGGAGGATTCACAGGAGTTTCATATGCAGTTAGTTTATATTAAATTGACTTATTAAATAATTTTTTGATAGAATTTTGTTAAAATTAAAAATAAATGGAGTGAATTTGATAGTGAATACAAATGTTACAGTAAATGTAACAGAAAAAGGACACCTATTGGTCGTTGTAGTAGTGGATATGGATACGTAACTTTAATTAATGATGAAGATATTAAATATGTTGCGGTGAATCGAGGAGGTAAATTATTGGGTTTCTTAATCTTTTTATAAATACATATTTAAGATTATAATATGAATGTATTTGTTGATGCAGAAAATTCATTCAACAAGCCACAAAATTGTCTTAATTATTCTTTGTACTATTTTGAAATTAAATGTATATTTGAAGGAAAGTTAATAAGGGTAGATATGGAAATTGGTCTTAAAAATTATAACACAACTGGATATATTAGTTTTGATACAGAATCGTTTAAAATAAAACACGAGTTTAAAGGATCGTTTCAAGTTTCACCATATTCTTTCAATAATAACGACATTTTTGGTTGTGTATTGGTTTGTCCACCAAATACTAAAATGAATGAAGAATTTCCTTATGTTTTCTTTACAAAAAATGGAAGACAAATGGGTAAATATTTAATTATAAATATTTTTAAAATACCCTTTTTAAAGGTAAAGGCATAAAATTAGAGGACAATTACGATCAGTGATGCGGAAATTCCAAAATGTGCCCGGTTCCGGTTCCGGTTCTGGAACCGCTCTTTCAATTTTGCCCGGTTCCGGTTCCGGTTCTGGAACCGATTTTTTAATTTTGGCGGTTCCGGTTCCGGTTCTGGAACCGCTTTTTTAATTTTGCCCGGTTCCGGTTCCGGTTCTGGAACCGGTTCCAAACCGGTTCCGGTTCCGAAAAATTTTGGCTTTAACTTAGTATAGGTCCACTGAGATCCAAACTGTAAGTATATATCATTCAATTCGTCTCTTCGAGCTGAGTTCAAATATGCAAGAATTTCTTGCAGGAGACGAAAACTCGCAGAGATATAGGCCTCCGAAAATCGAAATCGAAAAAGGGACCAAACATTTTTGGGTGACTCGAAAATTTCGGATCCGGGTCAGGGTGGACGCAATTGAACAACAACAATTAAACGGAAAACGGGGTTTAAACGCCGCAGGCGAGAATTTGTTAAATTTGGAAGGACAAGTCACCAGATTTCTGCCCTTTTTAAGCGCCGCAGGCGAAAATTTTAAGGATTTTGGAAGGCCAAGCACTAGATTTCTGCCCTTTTTAAGCGCCGCAGGCGAAAATTTTGAGAATTTTGGAAGATCCTTAAACCAAAAATCTTCATTTATTGCGCCGCAGGCGAAATTTTTGAAAATTTAAAAGTCATAGCAAAAAAATTCATGTATTTAAAAATATGACAAAATTTTTTGTTATACATAAATAAGTTCATAATAATCTATTTCCTGAAGAAAAACAATTATTTTGTCATTCATTAAGTTCGGTTCGAACCTCACACAATGATAATTCCTCAAAACTATGAACCTAACACAATATCCATTCAACCACACATCTTTTGAATGAAAAATAAAGATAATCTTTTTCACTCGTCTCAATTTTCCCTTCCTTTTCTTCTCACTACTCCCATCTTTTGCCCATTTCTCTGATTTTACCCATCATTAGGGGTGTATCTTTGGAACCGGTTCTGGAACCGGTTTTGGTAGAAAAGAGTTTATATTAATTTCCCTTTTTTAAATTGAGTTGAAATCAAAAAATAGTAGTAAATTTAAAGTAAAAGTTTAAAAGTTATTCTTTTTTAAGGACTTCTATAAACGTCAACCAAAAGCTTACAGCCCTCATAAATTAGAATTGTTGGCAAACATTTATGATTTGGGCTGTCTTCCAGGGAACTATGAAAAAATAAACAAAAAAGATTTGGATAAGAAATGTAAAGTAATTGATAAAGAATATAAAGAAGAATGCGAAGAGTAAAAGATTTTAAATCTATTTTAAGTAATCTAATCAAATTTTAAAGAGAAATGTGGTCAACATTTATAATTTGTTATAACTCTAAATTAGAAGGGGATGATGAACGTATTGAGGTATTTTGTTGGAGAATTAAAAAATATTTTTTGTTAAAAACAGCTTAAAAATAAAGAAGGCGGCTGGGGAAAGAAGTGTAAAAAACCAAGACAACACGCCATAGAAATGCGTGTTTGTGCTCGAAGGAAATCTTTTGAACGTGATGATAATATAAATGAATATAAAATTGAATATAATGTTTATTCAAAAATTGGGTTTTCTTTCACTCATAAAAGGTGATAGTAAAATAATTAATTTTAGTTTTAGAGTGGTTAGGTTGAGACTTTTCTCGTTGAGTGAGTGTTGAGTGATGGTTGAGTGAGTGACTTTTGTTTAAATTAGTTTGATGGTGAATCATAATGTTTTGGGTTTTTGCCAATACGTCGTTCAGTAGAAGGATAAACGAGAGAAATGTGAAAGTTTTTTGGTTTAGTTTTTAGATACCCGCGGCAATACGAAGGGGGTATCAGCAACCTCTTTCTACATGCCTTTAAATATTATGTATCTCTCTAAATCTTTATAAAACTTGATATTTTTAAGTTTCTCCTTTCAAAATTCTGTGACCATCACTGGACTTATAAACAAAACCAACGGTTTATTGGAACCTCCATCAAAGGAAAACGCAACTTTTACCATCTTCACAGTTAAACTAGGCAATGAAGATAAATTCTTTGCTACTTTAACTGGAATCAACGGAAAAAAATTGGATTATTCGTCAAGTACAAAATATAGAATTAATTTGTTATTTAGCAAAAGGGATGGATACAAAGAAAATAGTTTTCAAATGATCGCTGATGGGGTATTAGATTTTTTAAAAATTATTTTGACGGCACTTTTCTAAACATTAAATACATATTTTTAAAAATATTTAAATTAATATCATTGAGAGAGGGACTAGGGTTGGACCTTGTCCTTGATCAACGAATGTTGGTGAATCTGAGTCGAACTCCCTATCCTATGTATAAGTTGTCAAATATACTGATTGAATTCTCCTGTTACTATAGAAATTTAATCAAATTTCTAAAACCAAAATGGTTAAAGAAATTTTCTTAATAATCTTAAATTTTTGTAATATATTTTTATTCATAAAAGAATGAAGCAATTTCGCTTCTTGGATTAGATATGGAATTGTGGAATTACTTTAGTAGCCTTTATGATCAAATGGAATTTCCATCAAAATCTTGTTATTTAACATTAAAACTTGATGGATATAAATTCCATACTACTAGCCATTGTGTAAGGAATTAAATTTAAAATAATGTTTTCTGTGTAATAAATTTCAACATCAATTGAATGAAGCAATTTCACTTCTCTTTAATCTCTCAAATATTCAACAGGACAAGTTCTTCGTCAATCAAAATTTCATTACAAATCGCTTTGAATTATGGATAACTCTAAGCAATCTTGCCTGTAATTATGAAGAGGCAGAAAAGCAACGATTATCTGGAATTGAGTCATCAAATGTATGCAAATATAAATCTGATGAAACAAACAAAATGAGAAAGTAGGTTTTTTGTAAATAATTTATATTAATTATTAAAAATTAATATAGTTGGAACTCGATTAATTTGACAATCTGTTATTATACTAAATTTGGCAAAGAAGTATGATAGTCTAACCTTCGTCGAGTATCAATAATTTTTTACTAATATTCAAGATAAAAAATAATCCGCAAAGTGATTATGCCAATGCTTGTAAAACCTACGAAGATGATGATGAATTTGGAAGGCATGGAATTGAATTCAGAATTTATGCTACAAGAATTGGATTTGAAAGATTAGAAGAAGAGTATTGGGTTGAATTTGGTGTTAATGTTGAAATTGGGTTTTCCTATTCAACAAAAACGTTCGTTACTTTTGATAATTATTAGGGTTTATTACATAAGAGTATTCATGCTGTGGAAAAATTCATTGGATGGTAGATGGAATTGAACCATCAAGGAATGGGCCCAGACCGAAGCATAACCAACTGTGCCACCATCTAATCCGATGATGGGTTATTTATTTTCATTTATATTCTTTCTGCAAGTGCGTACACAACATGTTGTCTACAATATGTTAAATAACTATAAGAAACCTCCTCTATAGTTTTTATTTATCAATAAAAAATTCACAAAAATTTTGCTGAACATACCTATGTACAATCTGTCAATACAAATCAGGGATCTAGCCGTCCCGATTCCCGAAAATCGGGAATTCCCGACGTTTTTTGGGTCGGGAATCCCGATTCCCGAAAATCGGGAATTGAATTTTTGTCGGGAATTCCCGTTCCCGATTCCCGACTTTTTTCCTAAAAAATCGGGAATTTTCGGAAATTACACTAGATATCTGGCGTTGAAAAAGGAAGAAGATTGAAAAAGGAAGTCTACAATATGTTAAATAACTATAAGATATGAACTGTTTGTAAGTTCACTATAAAACCCTCGGTTCTAAGCCTTGGTCAAATTGGATTTAAAATATATTTATTCAAGGGGTTAAAATAATATAAGTTAAAGAGTTAAAAGGAAAGTTCAATATAAGACGATAGTTCAATACAAGTTAAAAATGACAAATTGAAGGGGAGTATATATAGTGATCCTAAAGTAAACATAGATTGTTATTGTAAATGGACAGGTCAGAATTAATTAAATAAAATGGAAAACAAAATATAAGATAAGGATTGTTGGGTAAACATTAAGTCGGGAAAACTCAGTAAACCTTTTATAAAATTGGAAGGTCAAGAGTTTATCATTTATTTATTTTTATATTTTGGGGAAAAGATATTTTTTAATTTGTTTATTTGCTTATGCGAATGCAGCAAGATAATAACTATTAACTATTAAATAACTATTCTTTGCCCTCCAAATTTTTTAAAATTTTTGCCTGTGGCGCTGAAAAAGAAAGAAATCAGGTGACTTGGCCCTCCAAAATTCTCAAAATTTTCGCCTGCGGCGCTAAGAATGGAAGAAATCTGGTGACTAGGTCTTACATAATCCTCAAAATTTTCGCCTGCGGCGCAGATAAGAAAGAAGTATGTGGTATATCGGAGTATTTGTATAGATTAAGGTGAATTTGGAGTAATATCGTGAGGAATTAGCGGGGGGATATGAAGTGATATCGAAGTATAGAAATTCAAGTAAGATATATTGGGATAAGGATCGAACATCTTTGTACCGAACAGCTTTGTCGAACAGCAGGACCAAACAGCTTTGACTAGCTTGATGTTTTTTAATTTAACCAGTCACTGGCAGTCCTGAAAACTGGACTGCCAGTGACTTTTTTAAATTGTGTTTGCCACTGATGAAAACCTTTTTGGATTTTCCCCTTTGGGACTTACAACTCAAACTATTGTATAAAACAGGTTGCACAGATTGGCTTAAGGATCCTCCAGAATTTTCAAAATTTTCGCCTGCGGCGCAATTAAATGAATCCCTAGTATATTGGGTATACCTCTTACTCACTCTAAACCTCCCAATAGTAATCTTCACCTATATCCCTCGATATCACTTCCAACGAATCTCACCTGATCCTTCAATGTCTTATACTTGTGAAATCCCTTGCAAAGGAAGAAAAAGGTTAAGTTGCAGGATAGGAAGGAGGTGATATCTTCTTTTTAACTTAAACTCTGT